CTCACAGGCAGAAGTTTAGGTGATTAATCACCCTGCTTACTAAATAGGCAATTTCGAACTTTTAAATTACACTTATTTTTTCACGATGTTATCCTTCACCCTTTATCAGTGACGTCTAAATAAAAGTCGGGAATGTCACATAGATGCTTACCAGGTTGTCATGCAATACCAAAGGAAGGAATTGCGTTTGATACTACAAAACGAACAAACACTTCATCACAATCTTTCTCAGCTTGTTCCATATTCAACACACAAGTACCCTTATCATTTCTTCGGACCTCCAGCAACCAAGATGGTCACAGAAACACTCATTTTTACTTACTTACCCTTATATTTATTCAAAGCAATGTTAAATATTTATGAATGAATAAATTAGATGTAAATAAAAAATGATGAGTATTTATGAGATGTTTTGGTACCTTTTCAGGGTTCCTTGGGAAAAAGGTACTAACGAAACCCTATTATTAATAATAGGGTGCCGTTAGCACCTTTTACATCGGCAATCGTATTTATGTGTGTATAGTATGTTTATATCTTTAGGCGAAAAGCAAAATAGTTTTTTTTTCTTATAAGTATAAGTGTTTTTTATTAATATATAATTTCTTTATAGTTTGGCTTTATTAGGCACTCAACGATAAACAGTGCACCTTTTCCATCTCTCTCTCTCTCTCTCTCTAAATATTTATAAGTACCTAAATCTTATAAATAAATCTCAGACTTATTTTGAAGTGTACAAATTACATTTTCCCGAAGCTCATCAATCTTTAACTGCACCTGCGAGGGTTTTGATAAGAAAATTAAACATTAATGAAAAATGTCTTCGGTAGATTCTATTAAATAAATAAATATATTGACAGAATTTCGATTGCAGATCGTATCACAATTTTAGTTATCTTTCATAACTCGTTTCATATTACCATTTTGTTACGCTTAAAGCCCAGTATCGATTTATTTCTAAAAGCATAATAACATAAATGCTTTCATAAAACATGATTTAAGACAAATTTAGGTATATAAAATTTTGCACAAAAAACACATTTATTGTCCAGTTACACAATAATTTTCTTTCAACAAGAATAATTTGGTAATTTTTAGTATCTTTAAAAAAAAGCGTCTACCTTCTTTCATAAAGAAAAAAAATCCGCAAACAAAACCGTCAACACTGAGCTTGTTAATCATAAAATTTATTACACCCACCCTAGATTAGCGACAGAAAATGGCCAATATAAATCATTTTAAAAATATTCTAATTAAAATAAATGACTTCCGTTTCTCTTAGAGAATAATCGTATTAAAGAAATGAAAAATTAATCCCATTACGATTAATCATTGGTCAAATGGTTGTAATAGAGAAACACTAAAAGTTGGTCCTGAAGTGGACCAAATATCAACCAAAATATTGGTCTCGATTCTTCGAATTTTGAGTTTCCGAAATCCACCAGTAACAGATGAATCCAACAATTGTGCCTAAACTCGCATTTCGTTGCATTTGAAAACGTATTTAGAGAATAAGATACCTATTATGTACATGCCCTAGTTTTTGTGGAGTTCAGAATTTTTTACACGGAATTAATATTCAATGTTCCATGTCGATTTTTTTTATTTTTCTTTGACTCCAGTAGGCATCCTGTAAAAAGGTCTCATTTTATCACGAAATTCAAAATGTAACTGTGGCATTGAACGTAAATACCTTTCTTTTTCTTTCGAGGAATAAATGAATGACGTCACATGTTATGTTATAATCCTATTACAAGATTAGGTACTTGTTCTAACACTAGCGTAGGAACAAGTATTCTAAGGCTTCGTGAAGCGAAGTAATGCATTAGCCGTGTACCCAGTGTCGTGTTATCGGACTATTGATATATAGGGTTTAAGCGAATAACATACATTTAGGTCCTGGCTGGTTGTAAGATCAGATCTGTTTGAATTTAGAGCGTATTTCTAGCTGGCCTGTGTTATTTTTCTAGTTTGGAATTTCTATTTGAAGGTTTTATTTAGATTCAATTTAAGTATCATTATTTGAGCGTTGTAACTGTAGTCCTATGTAGTCTCATAAAAAAGATTGTTCGCAATGCCTATTTATCATCTTGAATTGTGATTTAGTAGACAAATCAAAATGAGAAAAAGTGGCAACTGTTGAGTTCAAGGTCACGGTTATGATAAGTATTTTTTGACAATTGTTTCCTTTTTATTGTGACGTTTTTAGCAACAGGCTCATTTCCAATCGAAATGAATGGCCTACCGGAAAACAGGAGGTCAATAAAATACCTAGGTACTCGTACTAAACTGATGTAATATATAAAAAATGTTAACAACCTATAAAGATTAAATGCATTGATACCTATTCATAGTCACGTGGTGTACCAGAATTAATGCCAACACGTTTCCTACCAATGTATAAGCATTGAACTGCTAATAGATCAAAGTGAACACTGAACACTGAACACTGAAACTCAGTGCTATTCACTGTAATTCGGTTGAAGCAATTCCATTGTAACATTTGGTAGAAATAAATTACCGAATTGAATTAATAATGTTCTGATTATATGGTCTACTTTGGTAGATGATTTTCTCTAAGGTTATTATGAGGATTTTTGTGTTGTTAGTAGACACAGTCTGGTAAAGAAGACCAATCTACCATCGAGTCGTACGTCTCCACATTTGCTTTCTAATTAAATACTATTCCATAAAAGTTATGAGACGAGTAAGGGATGAAGACAAAGTGAAGTCAAAATGATGTCAGAGTGTACTGATTCAAGGTCTTTTTATTAAGTTTGCTTTAATTTTAAAAAATGCTAATTATCCGTTTGCTTATTCCAAATTATGTTAAACCAGAAATCTTTTCATCCAAAATCGCCAAATGAATAAGTCAATAATCAACGTGCACACAATCTATACAGCGTGGTCAATTTTTCATTGTTATTACAAAAGAGACAGCGGTCTATTCCAAAATCCCTCAAAGGCCAAAAGGGTCTAACTAACGCATTGTTGGTTTACGAAACCAATAAGAGGTGAATGAGAATTTCAATTCGTCTTCTCACACGATGAGATAACTCAATTTTGGTTTATTTGGACCTTCATACGAATTTATTTTGACAATTTGTCACACGGTTCTTATTTCGTTGTTGGTAGGTCGATTTTGCTTCGCACAATAAACCCGTACTTTTATACTTCTAACTTAATTAGGTTACTTAGAAAAGTTTCTGGAGCAAATGAAATTACGATTGTTACCTATCCTTGGATACTAGGTTAACATTAAATACCAGGTAATGGTAACTGGATAAACTTTTTTACTAACGTTGTGGTAAGGGCTCCCCGCTTTTCATGCATAATGGCGTGAGCCAAAACCAGGCAAGTACTTACCAATATGTGATTTTTTCCGAGTCATTGTAGTTTCTATGATTATTAAGACACCACTGACATAGGTAGAACGAAAACATCGTGAGGAAACTTGTGCTTATAATTTCTGTTTATAAGTTTGAAAACGTTTATTAACCTTGAGCAAGCGTTGTGATTAATACCTAAATATCTCCGTGTGAAAAGAGGTGTTTTGCTCAGCAGTGGGCACTAATAGGGTGATGATGTGATGTGATGTGGATAAGGTCAATAACTAGTAAAATCTCTACACAATACGCACTAAGCAGCTATAAATAATTGACGTTACATTATGTCTTTAAAAGGCTTCTAGCCATAAGTCCTTAGAAGTTTGTAAATACCTTCACAAATAGTTTTGATCAATACCTATCACTTAAAAGTTGATTCTTGAAAAATCGAAAAAGTTCAAAAAGTTTTAATGTGAATGTGACCCCGTGATGTAACCTACAAGAGTCTAGACAAAGCCAAAAAAGTGTGTGACGAAATCAATAAACTGTTACCAACATAAAAATTCTATCCATCACACACCAAACGAAATGTTGAAATTCGAATGAAAAAAAGGATACATTTTAATCTAAATTCCGCATCGCAAATTGTACGCTTTTGTATTTTTGCAAAGACTTTACAAAAACGTCAACTACACTGAATAAGCTTTGAATTTTAAAATGTACAAGTCTGGTATTTGCACAACTAATTTGCGTTAGCAAAATATTAGATGGTTGTTGCTGGTAAAACAATAAAATAATAAATGTAACAAAGCATTGTTATTATGACTTTGAAAGATAGATTAAAAAACTACTTATCTTTGTGTCTGACTTTCTAAATAGATTTCTTTACATCACCCATTTTATGAGTGCTTGTTCTTTCTTCTTGTTAAGATAACATTCACTCTTCACACAAATAAGGTTTGACCATGAATCACCAGGCTTTCTCAAGGTGGATTGGCGATTTTAAATTGATAATTAGAAAGAAATTGTTTTGTAACGATGTTGTCCTTACTGTTTGTCATGAGTATCTTTATAAACTAAGTAGGTAAGTATAATTTGGAAAAGTTATCGGTTACAAGGCCATGTATTCCTCTACAATTGTCATTCCTATTTGTTCTTTCTTACCTTGTAGTAAATTTTTACCAAATCATCAAACGCTTCATCACTTGCTATTAAAAAAGCCAAAATCAGTTTCAACTTTTTACTACTGATACAAAAGTACAAAAACTATCAAGAATATCGGAAGTCATTCTTCAAGACCCTTGAGTTTGATATTTACAAATGACAATAAAAAATAAGACAAATCGGTGGAACCTTCCTTGAGTGATGTTCTCCTATGCGTTGTTTCAATAGAATAATAATATTAAGCTAACCTTGTTGGAAGGCCGATTCGGACCTTTATTGTTATTTCTATTCTTAGTAAGGAACATAATTCAAAGAGTTTTTTTTATGTAATAATAGGTCGGCAAACGAGCAGACGGATAACCTGATGGTAAGTAATCAGCGCCGCCCATGAACACCCGCAACGGAGGAGTTACGAGTGCGTTGCCGACCTTTTAGGGATTAGGGTTGTGGAGATTTAGGGATTGGGAGGGATCGGGGGAGGGGAAGGATTGGGCATCCGGTAACCTCACTCACACGGCGAAACACAACACTGTGTTTCACGTCGGTATTCTGTGAGGCCGTGGTATCACTCCGATCGAGCCGACCCATTTGTGCCGAAGCTTGGCTCTCCCACACTTAAAAGTTGTAGTTGTATGTTGTAAGAAACTGAATTTACATAAATATTCTCAGTTTTGGTGCGGAAGAGCGATTTTTCTGAAACAGTCCGACTGGAGTGTTACCTCGGCTACAGAAAATAGTCAAGAAACAACAGTTATGTGGTGTTTCACCGTGGTGAGATACCGTGGATGCAAATACTACTAGTATTAATTATATCCTAATTAATTATACTAATCCTCAAATCGATATCTTCCAAAAGGGTATACACAGGATGTGCTGATTGCTTTCCTAAAAAGTTGGATAATTTGTATTTGACGACTATACAAGCCCTTAACTTATTGTACTCGTTTTTAATTAGAAAGTTGGATAATCTGTACTTGACGACTGTACAAGCCCTTAACTTATTGTATTTGTTTTAATAACATTGCTCAATTGCTCAATGTACAGAAACTACGAGTATACGCTTAATAATTAAACAAAATTTGTAAATAGTATTAGAAGGTAGCGTAAATAAAGGAATGTATCCAACACGAATTCGTTTCAAACGCCTCAGACAAATCGATACAATATTTAATATTCTCTAATTGATGTACTTGAAGTTGAATCAATAAATGTCACGTGAATAGCAGACCAATTATGCCCCAACCGACTTTGTCTACATAGAAACAAATTGGACATTTTGAAACACAAAAAGATACCAACCTACACCAAAGGGTTTCATTACAATCATGTAAACATAATTGGCAATTTGTAAGATCAAGGAGACCCAATATTAACGGTGGACTGGTTCTAATCAATATAGACAATTACCTATTAACTGATAAATTGATTGGTTAATTTTCATTCTATTATTGGGTGTCTGGAATTTTTGGTTTAAGATTTGTTTTCAAAAAACAGAATGAAATTAATGAAGGTAGGTAAATCCGTTATTCAAAAATGTTGTGAAAACATCTTTTAAAAGGTTAAATATTCATAATAATAATACATTGCCCGGAGATTCCTTTCTCTGGAGCCCTGACCACCGGTTGCTTGGTACCCTCCCGTACTCGGTGCGACACTGCTTTTTATGCTGTTAAGTGTTTTTCTTTTTATTTTTTTAATATTTAAAAACGTATCATCAAATGTCATACTGAATAAAATAATTTGTAAAGCTGTTAATACACTGGTGATTATTATTTGATTGGTTTTTTTTTTTTTTTTGTGAGGGGAAAATCATCAAATGACTTGGAGGGAGTGTCAGACTCTTACTGACTAAAAACCCCCCTGTTCCTTCTCCTGCTCTGTGCCGAGGTCGCGGTACCTCATTGCGCTTACCCCGCAACTCCGGCTGAACATCAGCCCTTTAGGGCCCCGTCTGTGGTGGTCGAATGGCTCTTTGAGGCGCGCGCGGAACGCTACGCGCCGTACGCTCGGGCCTGGTTCCGGTCGGGCGGCAAGCTGCCCTTACTCGCCGACCGCAGGCCCGTATTATTTGATTGGTGAAGTCATTTTTTGACTTGGCAATCACCGTTCTTATTTTATGAAAACGCCATAATCTTCGGAAACCATTCCTCAAAAGCCAAACCCCACTTGAATGTGAGCTATGGGTTTCCACCAAACTCGAACATTACTTTTTACCTTCAATCAACCCTATCTTTTGAGATCAAAATAATTTATTAGGTAAAATAAAAAACACATTTCCCACCTCAAATCCTTCAAACATTTGATCCGTTTCAATTTATCACACTCTCACCGCAGCAACCGTAACAAAATCCACTCAAGTAATAAATCTTAAACTTAAGTAATATCTGACGACGATAGATAGCGCCACCTGCGAAGTGCAGGAACTAACCGTAAAGTGAATAGATCGAACGAGGAGAAATTATTTCACTCGAAGACTTAGGATTCTGTGATAAATTGAGCGCGGTCTATATAATCTTATGTGTATGCCTTGCATGCCAATATCTGCACACATGAATACCCACATGACTGAAGAATACGAAGTGAGAATTAATATTATGATAAAAATAAGGTTAACCTGTTTAAAATTTATTTCGTTTTATTTTTTCATCGTACAGGGTGGCAATCAAGCATAAGTAGACACCCGCAACACCAAAGGAGTTACGAGTGCGTTGCCGGCCTTTTAGGGATAAGTGTTTTGGATATTTAAGAATTGGGAAGGTATGGGGGGAGGGGCAGGTATTGGACCTTCAGTAACCTCACTCACATGGCCAAACACCATGCTGTGTTTGTTTTACACCGGTTTTCTGTGAGGCCTTGGTATCACTCCGATCGAGCCGACCCATTCATGCCAAAGCTTGGCTCTCCCACACTATTTAAGCATTAAAAACATATTTTTCTTTACTAAGGGAGATTCCAGATTACGGCCTATAATAGAACGGTAACCGTATCATAAACATCAGTAGGTAGTGTTGTACCCACACACATAAAATTAAATATTATCAACGTTTGCCGTGCGCAGTAGTGTTTGCAGTAGTCGATAGCAATATGCAAACAAACATTGGTTACCCCAGTGACCAATATTCCAACGTTGGCTATACCAAATTGGCCAACAAATTCAGTGGTACATTAATACCTACGTCGGCAGATGCAATGCAATTAAACTGAACAGTGATATTAAAACATTGATAGTAGTTCGACCTTGTGACCTACTCGTAAACTATTAACTATGTACATTCGTTGTGTTTGTGATAATATGGAATTGATGAAACGGGTCGATTTTTCAGCCCATTGATAAACATCAAGATCTCTGTTGGCGATATGGATAATACATAAATTATCACCGCTTATTTTTCCATAGGTGCTGACTGAGTGACTACACTTTTGCTAGAGACAGCTGTAGAACTGTCAAACAAATCTACCCTGTGACATCCAACCTCCTCCTTCTTGCCAAAAGTGATTATAACTAAGTGTAGTATAGAGGTTATAGGAAGCACTAAAACGTATATAATACAAGAAACCCATATGATAGCCCAGCTGTGGACTCTGTTAAAATTTAATTAACAACTTTCATAACAGTGAACATGGAAAACTTTAATACAAGACTAGAGACGGCAAGCTCAGATAATAACCCGTTTCCAAGAAAATCCTCATAAGGCCTGGCTTAAAACTGAGCTGGAGTGTTTTGCTGCTTGTTTTTACTTGATATATCACTATATACCCATGTATACACTGCACTAATATTCCGTACGTACTACATCATATATCTTCTTATATAAAAAGGCTTCCACCATCCCATATTAGGATAAGAGGATTACTTTTGGTGTCGAGTTACGTTGCCTACGAGCAACTTGATTCGGGCCCCCGGCTTTACTTACATACACCTATTCCATTTTTATTAACACTGACACGGACTTAAACAGAACACAGGCACTCTCAAATATGAACACTATACGTTATTGAGAAATATTGTATCGCAGAAAGTGATTTATCAAGAAAAGGTCCAAACGCTTCTTCGAAAGCAGAAAAAGTTTCGAACATTATTTTTGGCATAAACAAAAGCGTTTCGTAAAATCGTGAAGAATGTTTTTTGATAAAAGAACAAGGAGTTTCTTTTGTTTTCAAGGGCAGCAACTGTTTCTTGAAGTCGAAAAAAAATAAGAGGCTATAATAGCAGGACAAGAACAGTAGAACACCTGATCTCGAGATCGTGAAGTTTTATTTTACTGAATATAAGTTAAGCTGATAAATAAGAAAAACAATTATGTGTTTGATGTAAGCAAGGAAGGCTTTTCTCTATGAAACTTGATTGAGAAATTGAACTGGGACATACAACAAAATCGGATTTGGTTAATTACATTAATTAGTTGTATGCTTCATATCCAATTAAAAAGTCATCGTCATCTGGCAAAAGTATTGACGGTTGGAAAACAATAAACAGAGATGGGTAACCCAAAACAAAAAGTTTATCAAAATATGAAACAAATTTTCGGAAAGCGTCGAAGAGAAAATTCAACTACCGACTATGTCCTTGGTCAGGCATCCTAAGTAGGTAGTCACATCTATTATTCTTGTGGGACCTCGTGCGGGATTTCGAAGCCGTGTCTTTTCGTCGCCTGTTCGCGTACTCAACGTCAGCTAACGTCACGGCTTAGAAGATTTTCGCCCACACATCAAAACACGATTTACTTGGGGCATGGACTGACATTTTCTTTCAAATTATTGTTTTTGTTTATTTCTGTTTTCTTTTTCTTTTTTTTTTTGTTTTGGAGTGGATGTAAATTTTTTAGTCACATAGAAAACTCCAGGAATTTTCCTGAATGTTTATGTTGCACATAGTAAAATAATTAAGAATCCTTGACTGCACGGTTGGTGCGTGGGTCTGGGTGGCTTATGTATGTGAATTTGTATGTTTGTAAACGCACCCACGACACAGGAGAAAATCTTAAATAATAACAATTAAAAAATAAAATAAATAAAAATAAAATCGTTCCATTTTTACAAATTTTAAAATAAATAAGCTACTACATATATCTACAAACTTTGGCGTTTATAATATGAGTAAGCTTTTAATGACCATGGATTATCTTCTACCGTTCTAATTAAATTACACAATTTGGACACTTGCGTCTATCGACCAACTCACAAAATATTGACTGGAATAGTGCTGAACTAGAACCAGAATAAGTTATTTATTTTATGTCAATTATTTTCGACGAACTTCATCTATCATTGCCTTATAGTGACATTTTTATACTTCTTCAATATGAGATTTCAGTAGAATTTTATATACAATTAATTTGACTATCTTTCTCTCAATAAAAAAGCGCGTAGAAAAATATATGGCCCACATATTTTCTCAGCTAATAAATATTTCACATTGGCATTCAAATATACTGTTTCGTCTCGCCTTTGATTCGCAAACATTCATGAAGAAACTCCAGTAATATATCAAGATGTAATGGGAATTTTCTACTGATCAAAGTACCTAGAAAAACCCTTAAAATGTAGTCAATTTGTTTCTTTCGCTCGGATTCATTTACATGTATTTT